CTGGTACCAAAAAAAAAAAAAAAAAAAACAAACCCAAAGTAAACCTTCCTCCCATCCACCTCCTTTGTCCTCAACTTCACTCTCTGACCTCTTCAGACATGGACCTAGATTATGCCATTATACCAGCAATCGGGAGGCTGAGGCAGGAGGATCACCATGAGTTTGAAACCAGCCTGGACACATAGTTCAAAGCTAGCTTGAACTACATATTGAGAACTAGTCTCAAAAAAAAGAAAGGAAAACACAAGACTACAGGAATTTATGGCATTTTTTAACCTAAATGTCAGGGTTCCAGAACCACCAGTAGGATCCACCTGACCAGGGAGTATAGTGGTTAAAAAAAAAACCAAGAAAACAAAACAACTGTGTGTATTTGTCCTCCTCCATGAGCCATTTTCTCAGAATCGGTGTCCTCAGCCCCATTTCCACTGTCCCAGCTCCTGCTACTGAGTGCACAGGCCCCTCCCTCCTTCACCCCTCCAGTGACCCCGAGCTGTGTAGACCCTGGGCTAGGGCAGCGGGAGGAAATGGCATTCCTCACGAGCCTCAAGCACCTTGGCAGCAGCCTTTGGTTCCCCGGGTAACACTTGTCAGGCACGGGCCATGGACCCGGGGAGGAGGAAAGGCCTGGCTGCCTCCAGGATGTCCAGCTTGGGGTCCAGCGAGCGGCCCAGCCCCTCTAGCACCATGATGGCGAACACAATGGAGGCAAAGTTGCTCTCCAGCTTCACCTGTAACAAAAGAAAGCATCTGTTCCTCCTGACACCACTCATGAAGACACATCCCTGCCCCCCACCGTGTCACCACTGGTGGGACTTTGACCTCCTACCTAACGCACCTCCCTCGTCCCAGCGTTTCCCGTACCTCTCACCCCAGAACCAGAGCAGCTCGGCCCAGTGAGACAGCTAGGCCTCTCGGGGCCCCAGACAATGGGCCCCCACTCCTACCCAGGCTTCTTCCTAGTCCACTTTTTGGGCACACAATGGTTGCCTTCCTCGAATGTTGCTGGTGCACAGATGTAACACTCTTACTTCTACCGCTTACCCTGTGCTTCTTCCCCTCCATCTCTCGGTCTCCTTCATATTTGCAAAAGATCTAGCTCCTCGTTTCCTATGATCTATCTTCTACTTTGCTCTTTATGCTGTGGGGTTCTCATCTAAGAGAAACCATGTGATATTTAAGCTTGTGTGTCTGATTAATTTCACTTAGCATTAAGATCTCAAGGTGCATCCACTTTCCTACAAATGACTCAGCTTTATCCTTCTTTATACCAAGTAGTACTCCATGGTGTGTAAATGCCACATTTTTGTCGGGAGCAATGCTACATAATTTTAGGGAAAACTCATTTGATTAGGCCTAGTTCTCCTGCCTACAGGCCAGCTATGGCATTTCAAAACAGGATTCCTTTGGTCTCTGGTTACGTTAGTTTCTCCCCAGTACTGAATGAAAGGTGAGGCAAGATTTTGTCTTTGCTGCCCAGAGCAGCACTGATCAGGCCCAAAGCTCAGCTGCTTCTCCAAGTCTCATTTTTCTACCTTTCCTGCATAATAAGTTAATTCACCTTGTGCTGCCATGGCTCGCAGGAGACTAGGGCTCACTGCAGAGGTTCTAGCAATGTCTCCCTTCCCTGTTCCCTGCACATTTCCTTTATCCTTTCATCTGTTGATGGACATAGAGTCAGGCTCAACTTTACCCCAGGTAGGAAGAGCAATGTGTGACCTACATGAGTACCAAGTTCACTGCCAGGACCTTGTGCTTGCCCTGCCATTGAGCTACACATTGAGCTCTTTGTTAGTTAGTTAGTTAGTTGAGACAGGGTCTTGCTATGTAGTTCAGGCTGGCCTTGAACCTTCAGTAATCCTCCTGCCCCACCTTCCTGGAGTGCTAGGACTACAGGTGTCCACTACCACACCCAGCTTTGCCCCTTTATTTTTATTTTGAGACATGGTCTCGCTAAACTGCTAGATCTTCCTGCCTCAGCCTCCCAAGTAGCTTGGATTACAGTTGTGCACCACCGCACCTGGCTGTTTTTACATTTTTAAGTACATTTTCTCTAGATCTAAGTGTCACAGGTACTCAGACTGACCGCAAAGACCTGCCCAGCTCTGAAGGAAGGCCCCGAGTTGCCTGTGATGGAGACCCATCCTGTCTCATGTCCCCACCGGCTTCCCCAGTGATAACCCCTCTCCTAGGGCCTCACCTTGTGAGTCATCAGCAACTTGAAGACACTGGAGAGGAGCCTGGAGACGTGCAGCTGGGAAGGGGAACAAGCCAGGGACAGATGGTGGAGCCTCCTGCTGCCACCTCCCCACGCTGAGGCTCCCTAGAAGTCCGCTCCCTCAGCCCTGCGCTCCACCCACCTTCTCCAGGGTGACGCTGTTCCTCCGGGCCTGGGTCACCAGCGCTGCCATCTCCACCTTGAACCCCTCCACGTCCCTGCACTCACTGGCCCGGGCATGACGCAGTATCAGCTCAGCCACTCTGCGGCCCTGGAAGATGCCAACAAAAGCAGCTTGCTCAAGCTGAGCTGGCAAAAACCAGAGCGGGGAAAGGCCACCAGTTTCTGAGGTACCTGCAGGCCAGGAGTCACCTCTGGTCCTCAAAGCAGGGTCAAGGCAAGGTGGTGCCAGTCTCCTCAGCCATCCTGGGGCCCCAGGGCACCCATGGGTCCTGCTGAATGCCTGGCCCAGCCCCCAGCCACCAGGTCCCCCGAGCTGGGCTCCTCCTTGTTCCCCAGGACTCCACTGACCAAAGCCCCGAGGTCTCCTTAGACAGCCCATCCCAGGGGCCATCTGAGTGCCTGTCACCTCCTGCAGCATAGTCCTGGGAACCCAGCTCTTCCTCTGGGGACTGTGACCTTTGTCCTTCACCCAACCTGTCCACAGAACAGGTTGTCCATAGAACAGTGCCCGCGGCACTGTACCCTGGTGTTAACAGGGGACATGAGCTGGCTTCAGGCTCCAGTTTGTGCTTGGCCCCTCAGGAACCACCTAAGTAGGACTTGTATCTTTTTTAAAAAAATGTTTTTAAAGATAGGGTCGCCCTATCCAGTCCATGTCAGCCCTGCATTCACTATGAGCCCAGGCTGGCCTCAAACTTGTTATCCTCCTGTCTCAGTCTCCTGAGTGCTAGAATGACAGGCTTGTACCACCACACCCAGCTAAATAGGCTTGGCCCCAATGATGCCTTTTCTTTATACAACAATGCCGGCCCCCTGGGGCCCCTCTAGGTCACAGGTCCCAATGTGTTCTGCCCCATGCAGGGATCACATTCTCCATACTGTGGCTTCTTCCCAGCTGGCCACCCTGCAGCACAAGGCACAGATGGGGACAGCCACTACTTGGTCAAACTGGCACCAGGCATGGGGGTGGGCACCAGGCATGGATGCGCATGCCTGTCATCTTAGCACTCAGGAGGGTGAGGCAGGAGGATCACGAGTTCAAGGCCAGCCTGGGCTACCTAGTAAGTTAGGCCCAGCCTAAGTTACATGCAGCCTTGCAGTCCCTACAGAGAAGTAGGCTGAGGACTGCATCAAGGCACAGCCAGCCTGCAGGATGCCGCCCAGCGGGTCTCACCTGGCCCAGCACCACGGCCAGGAACACAGCCCGGAAGTTCCTCAGGTCGGCGGCCTGCAGCTCAGCCACAATGCCAGCATCCAGCAGCACCAGACGCAGCGGGCACAGGGCTGGTGCCACAGCGACCACCAGCGGGTCACAGACATCCAGCTGCTCGAGGCCCGGGGACAGCCCATCAGTGCCCTGCACCAGGATGTTTCCAGGGTGCAGGTCCGCATGCACGAAGTTGTCCACGAATATCTGGAAGGGAACGTGCGGCTCGTGACCGGGCCACCCAGGACTGCCGAGGCACCCGCAGAACAAGCGTCACAGTGACAGAGAGCCTCCTGGGGCCTTGGCACAAGGGCACAGAGGGCTGGTGCTCACCAAGCCTCATCTGCAGGGCACCAGCTCAGGATCCGTGCAGGGACAACCAAGCTGTGCTTCTCAAGAGAAAAATTATTTTCAAAACAATGAGCAAACCAGACTATTTTTTCTTTAAAATTTGAGTCATTAATGTTCTAATTTAAGAAAAATTACCGATTCCTTGTTTAAATGTTTTATCTAGAGCTCTATCCCCTGGCCCCGGAACTGATGGAACCTAGGGCCTGTGCACAGAGCTATGTCCCCAGCCCCTTCTGTATTGTTTGAGACAGGGTCTCGCTATATTGCCCGGTTGCCCAGGCTGCCTTGAGCTTGCAATCCTCCTGTCTCAGCCTAATCCCATGGCTAGGATTACAGGTGTGTGCTACCATGCCCAGCTGAACTACATTTCTTCAAAAACAGTTCAAACAGCTGGGCAGTGGCACAAACCTATATCCCAGTTTGCAGGAGGATCGCCTGAGTCCAGGAGTTGGAGAGCAGCTTGGGCAACATAGCAAGACCTCATCTCAAGAAAAAGAAAAAAGGTTCATACATCAGACTTTCCCTCACTGCCACTGATAAAGCTTGTGGTGAGGGACAGTCATTACCAGCCACCAGCAGTCCTTCCTTAGGGGCTGAGGGCAGTGACCCAGGTCCCTTACCCAGCCAGCTGGACCCTGTCACCCATGCCTCAGCCACCGTCTTCTGTCCCAGGCCCCAGATTAGCTGGCACCTTCTCTATGTTCTTCCCAGGTATGATGCCATGACTAACATGGCACAGCCGCACCAGGTCCTCGGGGACATCAACTGGTGTTCACGGTGCAGTGCCACCAGCCAGGCACTTGAAGAGAAAGCCTGTGGGCCAAGGAAGTAACCTGCCTCAGTCTCCCCTCCCTGCCCCAGTGCTAGGCAGCGGAGCTGAGGTCAGAATCCAGGCTGGTACGACAGCGCTGTCCCAGGCTCCTCATCACCAGGCGCTGTCCCTGTGCTGCCCGCCACCTGCTGTGCTTCCTGAGCAGTCCCTCCTAGGCCCAGGGCACCAATGTGATGCCTCCACATCCACTGCAAGCCTCCTGTCCCCAGCCTCTGCCTGTGTCCTGGGGAACAGACCAGCTTCTCTGCTCCCAACGATGCAGAGCCTCCAAACCCCCTCATCCCCACTGGGCTTTCTCAATTCTGTGCTTCTCAATTCGCACGTCGGGAAGCAGAGGGCTGGCTGGTAGCCAGGGCTACCTACCCTGGCCATGACAACCCGGCACGGCCCCAGTGTGGCCCAATGATAGCCCCACAGGAATGTCCACTCCAGTCTTTATGGGAGGGAAAAGCCCTCCTGGCGAGGCGAGGCGAGGCCCACACAGCTTAGCCCTGCAGAGCCCTGGCTTCAGGGACAAGGCAAACAACCCTGCCAAGGGCTCCCAGAGATGGGGAGGCCCAACTTTGCTCAAGAACCAATGTCAGCCAGGGAATGGTGGTGCACGCCTGCAGTCCCAGTACTCGGGAGGCTGAGGCAGGAAGATTATCACGAGTTGAAGGCCAGCCTGGGCTACATAGGGACCCTATCTCTAAAGACTAAAACAACAAAGACTCAACATCAGCCCAATGTGGTGGTACATGCCTGTAATCCCAGCACTATGGGAAGCTGAGGCAGAAGAATCGAAAGTTTGAGCCCAGCGTGGGTAACAGAGACTGAGCAAGACCTTCTCTCAAAATAAAAAATAAAAAGGCTGAGGATAGAGCTCAGTGCAGAGGCCCTGGTTTCAACCCATTGTTAGAGACGTGCCTTGCTCAGCCCTTCCAAAGCACACAGAGCACAGGTCTCTGCTGGTCTCTGCTCTGCCCACACACCATGCTCACCATCTTCAGCAGCATGTTGATGCCCAGCCTCGCGATCCTCTGCTTCAGTTCTGCAGGGATCCCTGCCCGCTGGTAGCTGGACACAGGCACACTCTCCTGGAAGAGCAGGAGACAGGTTAGCCTGCCTGCTGCCCCATGCCATCCCCTGTCCCCTGCACACTGCCCCAGGGACAACTGGGCGCTGCCTTCCTGCTGACAGGGAGTGGACTCAGAGTCCGATCTTCTTATAGCAGCTTAGGAATCTGCCACCTGCACACTGGTTTTAACCTATTTACATTTCCTTTGTGTTTTTGTTTTTTGTGGTACTGGGGATCAACTCAGGACCTTGCGCTTGAGAGGCAGGCACAGGGCACCACTGAGCTAAATCCTGGCCCTGCTTTTTGTTTGTGAGACAAAGTCTCATTAAGTACCTCAGGGTGGCCTTGAACTCACTATGTAGCCCAGGCTGGACTCAAACTTGAGGCCACCCTCCTGCCTCAGCCTCCTAAGCACCGGGATTGCAGGTATGCACACCACTACACCCGGCTCTATTTCCCTTCTGTGGCCACTTCTCAAAGGACAAGTCCCAGGGGCTCATTGGGAGGAAACCCATGGACTCTGCTGGTGCTGAGAGCTAGCAGGAATCAGCCAACAGGGCAGGGAGTGAGCTGGGACCTTGGGCAGGAAAATGCAGAAGGGAAGCCAGGACATGGGGAGCTGCTAAATAAGCCTTCATGTCACTTAGGTACCTCAATGGCAAAGCCACCACTGCGATGGACCTTGTCACCCCTCATGAACAAATAAGAAAAGGAAGGGCCAGAGAGGGCAAGCCACTTCCACCCTTCTCTAGGTCACTAGCAAATGGGATAGCAGAGGTCTGCAAATCTAAGGAGTCTGGAGGATGTAGTGGTGCACACTTGTGATCCCAGCAATCGGGAGGCTGGGGCAGGAGGTTTGCTGTGAGTTTGAGGCCAGCCTGGGCTACACAGTGAGTTCGAGGGCAGCCTGAACTACATAGCGAGACCCTGTCTCCAAAAAAAATAAATAAATAAAATCTAGGGAGTCTGAGGCCACAGGCAGGGCTATGCCTCTGCTCCTCCTGCCCAAGCTCCCCAGTCCTCCCTTGTTTCCAGACAGGGGTCCCCTCCAGAGGGAAGGGCACAGCCAGACTCTCACCTCATAGGTTTCTACCAAGACATCCCTGGTGACAAAGGGGCGCAAAGGTGTGGGGAACCTGACGGATGTCACATCCTGGAAGTTGCGCTGGAAGTGTTCTAGATTCCGCGCTTCGTAACGCAGGTCGATCTAGAGGAACAGAAAAGCAAGATGGGGCTTGCCTGGGCACAGGGACAGCCACAGCTGGCAGGTCAAACAGCTGTCCCCAAAGCCCCAAATCTCCACTCAAACTCCTGTCCGCTGCAGACAAGAGATGCCTGGTAGGATGTGGCCATCGCAGCTACTCCCTGGCTCCACCCAGATGGGTCCCTGTCCCCGGCATAGACTCTGTTGCCATCCCTGGCAGCCTGCACCCGTACCATTCCTGCCCTCTCCGTGCCATGCAGTCTGCATGCTGGGGCTGCAGCCACACAGGCTGGCTCCTCCACCTCAGGGCTGCCCTGCCTGACACCTGCTGCCCCGATGCTGCCACCACTAAGCTTACAACAGCCTTGCATTTGCCAGGCTCAAAAATCAACTCAGTTCTTTGCTATTTGTGGTACTGTAAATTGAACCCAAAGCCGCTCTACCCTGAACTACACCCCCAGCCCTTTTCCTTTTTGAGAGAGGGTCTCTCTAAATTGCCCAGGCTGACCTGGAACTTGCAGTCCTCCTGCCTCAGTCTCCAGAATAGCTGGTAGGACACTTGTGCCACCACATCCAGATTCATTTCAATCTTAATAAACCTCTCTAGACAGCCGATGCTGACCCTGATTTCCTCCCTAACTCCTCTTCTGGCCCCTGCCCTGCCCTCCCTGTCCATCTCATCCTGGCCAGGCCCCAGATCAGCCAATGCAGTTTCTCTCCCAACCCTCACATCCTCAGCTGGGCCTGGTAACAGCACCAGGTCCCCAGACTGACAAATTCTACTACAGCTGAAGTCTGTAGTAGAGAAGTCCACACCTTTTTTTTCTTTTCTGAGAGAAAGCCTTGCTAAATCACCCAGGCTGAGCTTGAACTCACAATCTTCCCACCTCAGCTGGGGTCACAGGCGTGTGTCACTGCACCTTGGTGAGTGTGCACTCCTTCAACTGACATTCAGGTGGGTCAGGATTCTGCCCCTGCTGCTGTCATGCCTCCTCCTTTCTCTGCCAATTCCAGCTCCAGCCTCACCCAATGCCAGCCCAGACCGCCTGTGCCCTCACTTTCCTTTGCCTCAGCCTTGGGCTGGGGTGGCCTGGCCGAGCCTGTCCCAACCTGCGGAGACCCTCGAAAAAATGTCCTGTGGTACCTGCAAATAGTTTCAGTTGCCCTCTGCTCCTGCGGGCTCCCTACTTCGGGGTCCAGGCTGGGAGCGGTGCCTGGCTGCAGGAAGCCTCTGGTTCTGCCCCTAGGTGCTCTTTGTTTTATCAGCTAGCATCACCCACCCTGACCACTCTCAGCTCACTGGAAGGAGAGCTGAGAGAAGCAGTCACCTGTTGGGTCATGAGCTTCTCAAATTCCTCCACGATCTCCAGCAGGCTGAGCCACTGGACTCCCGGCAGCAGCCCCAGGGCTTGGCTGCCCATCTTCAGCAGCAGCAGATCCACCTGCACCTGGGACAGCAGGCCTGGGTGCAGCACCTGCAGGGAGAGGAGGTCAGGAGCCGGTGCTGGGTGCCACCTGCAAAGGGGCCAGATGCCCTGGGTGACAGTTCCTCCACCCAGGCATCAAACTGCAACCCCTCCCTCCTCACTACCCAGGATCAGACAATTCACACCACCGTTCCTGGAAGCTGAGAAATAAAATAGCTTGCACGTAGCAAATACAAGTAAGATGACAGAACACAGGTTGAGCAGCCCTAATCCAAAAATCAGAAATCCAAATGCTCTAAGGTCTTTTTCTTTTTTGTGTGTGTACTGGGGATTGAACCCAGGGCTTTTACACTGAGCTACATCCCCAGCCCTTTTTGTTGTTGTTCATTTTGTTTTGTTTTGTTATCGCACTAGCCAGACAGCTGCTATGCCACTGAGCTAAATGCCCTCGCCCCAGCCCCCACCCCGGCCCTTCTTTTGAGACAGGGTCTCAAGAAAGTCACTAAGCTGCCCCGGCTGGGTTCAAACTTTCCGTCCTCCTGCCCCAGCCTCCCAGAGTGCTAGGATTACAGACACGCATCACCATGCCCGGCCAAAGTTCCAAAACTTTTTTTTTTTTTTTGGTACGGTACCGGGGATCGAACTTGGGACCTTGCGCTTGTGAGGCAGGCACCAGAACCACTGAGCTAAATCCCCGGCCCTCCAAAACTTTTTGAATACTGTACTGGAAATTTGTACACTGGACCTCATGTGATGGGTTGAACTCCTGACACAGGTGCACTAAAAATGCCCCAGGATTCTCTTCAGGCCATGTGTGTAAGGTATATATGAAACAAATCAATTTCCTGTTGAGTTGTGGGTGCCATTCCCAGGATATTTCATTTTGTATATGCAAATATTCCAAAATCCAAGGGCTCCTGTCCTTCCAGGCGTTCAGAGAACGGGCCTCTCTTGGTGGCTAGGCATGGAAGGCGGGCTGGGCTGACTATGGGGTGCGAGGGTTAGGGTTAGCACTGGAGATGGGCAGGGCTGGCTGACACTGAGAAGCACTCACTTTCACCGCCACCGGAACGAGGCCGTGTGGCCCACTCGGGGCGGTGGTGGGGAGCAGCAGCTGCTCTAGCAGGGCCTGGTCTGCGAGGTTCCCGGGGGGCCTCCGCTCCTTCCCAAGGCCCCCAAAGAGCGCGCGCAGCGCCTCTGTCGCCCCAGCTCCGGAGGGCTCACCCCGGCCCCTCGCGTCGCTTTGCTCCAGGAGGGCAGGGCTGGCGAACGCCTTGTACACTTGGGCCACGCAGCCCGAGCCCACCGGCTCGCGGGTCTCAAAGAAGAGGACGCGCCCCCAATCGTCCCCGAACGCCTGGCGCAGGAAGCGCTCTGTGTGTGCCCACGGGTGCGGGGCCACGCGGACGTGCAGCCTGGAGAAGTGAGCACAGAAGGCCTCGGAAAAGAGGTCGCGCCGGGTGCTGGCCCACTGGCCCAGCTTGATGCACGTGGGACCCGCGGCCTCGGTGGCCTTGAGCAGCAGACGCAGCCAGAGAGCGGCCAGGCCGGGAGCCAGGTAGGTGAGCGGGAGCAGCAGCAGCAGCGGCAGGAACCGCGCCAGGAGCGTGCCAGCGCGCAGCCACACGCGCGGCTGCAGGAGGACTCGGCGCCGCGGTCGCGCGTGGGCCCCCCACGGGAGCGCGTCCTCAGCTCGGCGCCCCGCCGGTGCCGCCTGCCCAGTTCGAGCCCCGTCCCCGGCGCCGCCCTCGGCTGAGACGAGCGCGGGCAGCGCGCCCAGCAGCAGCCAGTAGAGCCGGGCCCGGCGGGCGCGCCCTGGGGCCCCGAGGAGGCCAAGCTCCTGCGCGCGCCCCAGACCGGGCAGCCGCCACAGGCAGAGCCTGGCGGACAGGCGCCACGGCGTCCCCATCCCAGCCCGGCCGCCCGCCCGGGCCCTAGGGGACCCCCATGGCCGGCTACTCGGGGACCGCGCGGGGATGCTCAGCCCGCGTCGCCCCGAGGACACCCGGCCGGGCCCGAGGTCGCCGGTGCTGGGGGTGCGAAGGGACCGAGAGCCAGGCGGATGCCACCTGGCTGAGGCTGCGGAGCGCGGGGCGCCGCGCGGGATCGCGGGGCGCAAGACTCGCGCCGGGGCCGAGGTGCAGGGGCCACGGCGGGGGGGATCACGGCGCGCGGCCGGGAGCACAGAGGTCGCCGCCCGCCGCTTCCGGGAGCGTCCCTGTGCCCGCCCCTTAAAGGGGACGCGACGCGAACGTGGACGGCTGCCGAGGCTGGGGTCCAGGGTCTCCCACCCAGAAGCGCCTCCCTCTCCTCTGATAGCTCCCATTGATCGATGGTGTTTGTATGTGTGGCAGGGACTCTGGAAAGGCTAGGTGCATTCATTCAGCTGATGCTGTTTGAGCCCAATACATATGTGCTAATTGTAGGCCAGGCGTGGTGGCGCACGCCTGTGATCCTAGCACTCAGGAGGATGAGACAGGAGGATCACCGCGAGTTCGAGGCCAGCCTGAACTACATAACGAGACCCTGTCTCAAAAAAAAAAAATAGAATGACTAATAAATTAAGAGATTGCATATACCAAGGGATAACGGAATATGCACGGGGCCATGTCTGCCAGCAGAATTCTGACCCACGGCCTCTGAGGACTTGGTCGATGATTGCCGATGACTGCCCGCTGCCCTAATCCTCACGCCACTTCCACGTCTGGACCGACCATGGAGAGATCCAAACCAATCACATCAGATGCCTCCGCCTACAGGTTCACTACCAACTCTAATTCCTGCACAATTCCTGGAACTATTTTGCCTCCCAAACACCTCTCCCACCAGCATTTGCCTCCGCTTGTATTTAAGTCTCTGCCAAATGCAACCCAGGGTGGCTGGCTTCCTTGCCATAGAAACCTCTGTGCGAACAGTCTGCCCTCGATTTTCCAGACCCTTCAGCTAATTATTACAGTCTCGCGTTCTCGGAAAAGTTCCTGCCGGTGTTGTTCGTGCTGCTGCCACGAGGTGGCGCCGTGTACCTGTGAACCGCAGCCAGCGCTGCCCGGGTTCCAGGCCTGGGCCTTCGCATCTCACGTTAACCGTGGCACGCCGAGGACTCGGCTCAGGGCATGTACTGGGGCGCGGGGCTGTCCTGGGCATTGCAGGGTCTTTAGCAGCAGCACATCTGGCCTCTCCCACTCGTGCCGAAAACACCCTACCCTGGGCGAGTAGAAGCTGCCAGAGTTTGTGTTTCGCAGTTCAGGACCCCGACTCGGCAGATTGGTGTCTGGAGAGGGCCTGCTCCGCGCTGCAGACTCCTCTGCATGCTGCCGGGGTGGCAAGGACCTCTCAGCAGGGCGTGGTGGCTCCCACCTGTAAGCTCAGCAGTTGGGAGGCTGAGGCAGGAGGATGAAAAATTCCAGCCCAGCCTGGGCAATTTAGCAACTTAGTGAGACCCTCTGTCAAAATTGAAAAATTGAAAACGAACCCGGCATGTAGCTCAGTGAGAAGGCCCTGGGGTCCATCCGCAGCACCCACAGCGGGGAGCACTAGTCCCACTCATGAGGGCGCCCCCTTCATCACCTGATCCCCTCCCGGAGGCCTGGTCTCTTAATACTATGGCTTTGGAAGTTAGGGTTTCAACAAGTGAGTTTGGGGGAGCACACATTCAGCGCAGAGCATCCCCTTTCCCAGTTATTACCTTGCGGGGACAGAGCTGTCCCTGGTTGGGGATTGGGCTGTGGCGGGACAGCTGCCTGCCAGACCGTTCTGCCCTCCCTCCACCTCCTCAGAAGGGAACCCGGAAGCTGCCGCAGTGGCCCTCAGCCCTGCATCTCAGGGGGACCAGAGTCCCCTCTTGCTAGGTTTCCTGAGGGCCTTTGTAAACCTGCGCATTCCTACCAGAGCCCTTGGGGAACTGGAATCTGTCCTTTTTCTCTTCATTTTTCTACAAGCCCAAGGGGATTGTTAGGCAAATAAGAAGTTTAAGAAACCCAGACCCCAACCCTAGGTCTGCTGTGTTCCCCAGCCTGCAGTTCTCTCCTAAGACAGCTGGGAGTGGGAGCCCAAGCCTCTAGTCCCAGCCCTCAGGAGGCTGAGGCAGGAGGATCACTGAGAGTTGGAGGCCAGCCTGGGCTACATAGTGAGTTCAAGGCCAACCTGAACTACATAGGGAGGTCCCGTCTCCGAAACCCAGTATGTATGACCTGCATCTTTCCCAGGGCACGTGGAAGAACCAGACTCAGAGCTGCCTGACCTCCCTGTGCCCTGGAGTCCCACAGACATGACGAGCTACAGCCGCTTCTGCATGAAGATGTACACCTCTGCCAGTTCCCAGGTCGCCCCATCCTCATTCTTTTCTTTAATGTGCAGCTAGATTCTCAAAGGGAAGAGAAAAGAATATACAAGGGCCAGGGATTTAGCTCAGTGGCATTGCACCTGCCTCATAACCACAAGGTCCTGAGTTTGATTCCTGGTACCAAAAAATATATATATATACAAGGTGAGCCAGGCATGGTGGCACATGCCTGTAATCCCAGCATTCAGGAGGCTGAGGCAGGAGGATTACCATGAGTTCGAGGACAGCCTGAACTACATAGCAAGACCCTGTCTCAAAAAAACTTTTAAAGGGCTGAAGATTTTGCTCAGTGGTTCTGCTCCCTGCCTCAAAGTGCAAGGTCTGGAGTTCGATCCCTGGTACAAAAAAAAAAAAACTTTAAAAAATTTTATTACAGTAAAAAAATTGCCATAAATCATAAACCCCCCTCAAAATCCTCCCCCTTTGAACATGTTTACTCCAATGATCTCACCACTTTCTTTTCTTTTGGGGGGGGGTGGGTACCGGGGATCAAACTCGGGTCCTTGCACTTTGGAAACAGGCAGCAAAACCACTGAGCTAAATCCCTGGCCCCTTGCCACTTTCTGAAGCACCTTTGGAGGTGCTCTTTCCTGAGTATCTTTACAAGGTGAGATTAAAACCATGGCAAGTACTTTTTTTTTGGTGCTGGGGATTGAATTCAGGACCTTGCACTGTGGAGGCAGGCGTGGTGCCATTGAGCTAAATCCCCGGCTATGGCAAGTACCTTTGCAAGGGCCATCCAAAGGAGACACAGGCTCTAAAGATGCTACTGTGTGTCCTTATCCACCTCAGTCATTGTATCTGCACTCTGAGACTTCTCTCTCTTCCCCAAAGTCAACAAGACCATGAAAAGGAAATGTTTTTAATCGATTCAGGACATCACGGCAGCCACAGCCATGCAACTGAAGACACTTAGGAAAGAAGACTTGCTGAACTGTTTCAGAAGGCAGCCGGACCATGGGGTAAATGTGTTCGAATTGAGAGGGAAGATTTTGAGAGTAGTTGCCATGTATCTTTGACTGTAATAAATTCTTAAAATATAAACATTCCCCATATTTCTTAGTCATAATTCACGAGTATGGCAGGTATTTATGCAGACTTGATATTTGAGACTTCGTAAATGAAGTGGTTCTTTTGCTGTTTCTTTGCTTTTCACTAATCCTTCTATGTTATAAACAAGTTAATCTGCGTGTGTGTGTGTGTGTGTGTGTGTGTGTGTGTGTGTGTGTGTGTGTTGGAACAGAAGAGGATCTCAGTGGAAATGAGACCTTTTGGGGCAATGTCCAAATGCTTTTTCAGGTCCCCTAGGTCTCTGACCTTGCCCTTGGCTGATGACTACAAGAAAGCCAGCTCCCTGCTGCCTGGGGCCTTCCATGGGGGAGTTGAGATGGGATGGGGAGAAGAAAACTACCTGTTTCTCCAGCTTCAATCAGATGCATCCTGCACTCACCCAAAGGAAACAGCAAGAAGCAGGGGGTGGTAGTGCACACCTCTAATCCCTGGATTCTGAGAGGCTGAGGCAGGAGGATCACCATGAGTTTGAGGCCAGTCTGGGCTGCATAGTGAGTTCAAAGCCAGCCTGAGCTACATAGTGAGGCCCTGTCTCAAAATCTCAAAAAAGTAGTGCTGGGGATTTAGCTCAGTGGTTCCACTGCCTGCCTCAAAAGTGCAAGGTCCTGAGTTCAATCCCCAGTACAAAAAAAAAAAAAAAAAAAAAGGAAGTAATATATGGGGGTGGGGTGAAATCAGGGAAGAGAAACACTAAAAGACCAAGATACGCACCATAATATCATTCCTGGGTCAGGCAGACACCACTTCCTTTCCTTTATGGAAAGATAAACTTTGTACTGTGGAAGTAAGCAAGCGGAAGGACCTGAGTTCGATCCCCGGTACCAAAAAAAACTCAAAAAGTAGTCTAGGGATGATATGAAGTATAGAGGAAGATTGTTACATGCAAATACACCATCTTGTACAAGGGATTTAAAAAAAATTAATGGTGTAGTACATAATGATTACATTTATTTGGGGAGTCTGAAGATGTATTAACACATCTAGATTTTGGGGGGGTCCTCCTCACCTCCCATCTCTTCCTGTCCCTCCAACTCCTAAACTCCTTCCCATTGGAAAAAGCTCTTTTAATTTTTTGGTTTGATTCTCTTTTTAAACATCCTTTTTCCCTTCCTTCTCTCACCCTCTCCATCTCTATTCTCCTTCTCATTTGAAAAAGATCTCCCTTCTTCCTATTATCTATCCTTTATTTGCTTGTTTATATTTTGGGTTTCTCATATAAAAGAAACCATGATTTTTTTTTTTTTTTTGAGACAGGGTCTCACTATGTAGCCCAGGCTGACCTCAAACTTGAGGCAATCCTCCTGCCTCAGCCTCCTAGGATGCTGGGACTACAGGCCCTCCACCACACCCGGCGCCATGCAATATCTAATCATCTGTGTCTGATTTATTTCACTTAGCATTATAGTCTCGAGGTGCATCCATTTATCTACAAATGCTTCAAGTCTATCCTTCTTTATGGGAGAGTCATATTCCATTGTGTATAAATGCCACATTTTCTTTACTGATTCATCTGTTGATGGGCATTTGGGCTGTTTCCAAGATTCAGCTGTTACAAATTTTGCTGCTATAAACATGGGTGTGGATGTATCACTGTAGTATCATGACTTTAACTCTTTAGGGAAGATTCCTAGAAGGAAAATAGCTGGGTCAAATGGAATTTCTAGTTGTAGTTTTTTGAAGAATCACCATACAGATTCCAGTGTTTATACCGACTTATACCCCCCACCAACAATGGAGAAGGGTTTCATTTCCGCCTCCCTGCACCCTCAGCAGCATTTGTTATTATTTGATTTCGTGATGGTAGCCATTCTTTTAGGAGTAAGATGGGGATCTCAGTGTTGTTTTAATTTGCATTCCTCTAATAACCAGCAATGTTGAACATTTTTTTCATGTATCTGTTGGCCATCTGTACTTCTGAGAATTGTCTATTCATTTCTGTTGCCCATTTTTTTGCTTGGGTCTTTTATTTTGGGGTGTCTACTTTTTTGAATTCTTTATATATTCTAGATGTTAGTCCTCTGTCTGAGAAACAGCTGGCAAAAGTTTTTCCCCATGCTGTAGGTTG